TCAAAGATGTTGATATTTGCTTCACATTCTCTCTCTAAGGAAGAAAAGATGAAAACAAACCTCAAGAAACTCCTCCGTGAGCGTAAGAGAAGGATCTCCAGCAGCCTGACAACAACAATGGAGGAGACCATGAAAGAATGCTCTGACAGGAAGACAGAAGATCACTACAGACATAGAAATACACCTCTACACATTTTGATGTCAACATGTTTCTGTTTGATGTAGGAGCAAAAGAAATGAAAGGAGAAGGCACGCTGAAAAACATGAGGGGAACGATTGAAATGCACGTTCATGGTTCAAAAGACGTCATGTTTGATAAGGCTGAAGACGCCATGATGAAACAGCTGAGAGACCTGATGCTTTGTCACATTTGATATTTCCTCCTGCAGTCAAATGAAACTAGGAACACTGCAACACAAACATACATGTGCACACATGTCAGTGTTCAGTGATCAATATTTCAATGCTGATTTAGTGGGAGATCCCGGAGAAAGTGGAGAGCACGATGCAGGAATCAATCCAGCTGTCACTCAAAACAATTGGTGTCTCCATCCCAGGTGAAGGAGACACATCACAAACAATACTGTACATTTCATCCTCATTTAAAATACATTTCCATTCGTGTATTAAATGAATCCACTTGTTTGAAACAATATGTTTTGGGTTTTTAGATGTAAGTGCTGAGCTTGAGATGGTAAAGAACTTCTACAATGAACTGACCGAAGGCCCAGATGATGATGCAGTTCTTTGTTGTTTATTGGAAAGTTAATAACATACAAACTGAATATTCTCTCCACTGTGCCTTAAACTTGATTGAGACACTGCAGCAGACGTGTGAAGATTACTGGTGTTATTGTTTTAATATCTGCAAGTTTCAACAGAAAACTGCAATCCAACATTAAGCCAGTCTTTTTGTTTTCATCTTGCTGCTGCTCTGTCTCTTCAGACTCCAAAGCAGGTCCAGTTACATTTCAGCTAATTGCATTTGAGACTGTGGTGTACTACACTGTGGAACTTTCTCTTTCCACTGGGATTTATATGCATTATTGTCAATTTGCTGCTTTGGTTTGGGAGCTGTAGAAAAGGGGGCAATAGGAATCTTATGAGAGTCACAGTACTGTATGTTCCTGTTGGGTTTTAAATGAGAGCTGTGTATGTTTTTGTATTGTAGAATCCATTTTGTTTTTCTGTTTTAATGACATTAAATATCTGCTTAATGTCAAGAAAAAGCATTTATTTGTAATCGAACATGGTGAATGATTACAGAACTGAAAATAAAAAAACGTTTACAACACCTGTGAAAACACTCATCTCCTTACAACACTATGTAGCCCTTTTCAATGTTGGCTTTACATGGTTCCTAATGTGTTGCTTTCAGTTTCATTCATTTTCCAGTCTGGGAACAGCAGAACTAAGTCTTTTGAAACACCACCTGTCTGCCAGCATGAGAGCCCCCCCCCCGCCCGCCTCACTACTATCCCTCCCTTGGGCCAGAGTGAATACCACACCCTATTTGAGATCAGGCCGGGGTTAGGACTCTGTTCTTCTCACGTAAAGCACAAATCCAATCTTAAATAAGTCAATGTAAGATATGCAAATGGTACTCTTGAATCATCTGATGTTGAGAAATCATGTAGTGATTAATCTAGCATTTAACTAGATTGCCATGCCTGGTGTGTTCAGAGAACAGATATATACATGTTAAACACCACTGCCTCCAAGTGACTGAATTGAGCAATAGCATCTGTGTGAAAACATTTTTGATTGAACTGAGCAAGTGAATACATACAACCCATCTAGGCAGATAGGTCATGTTTAACAGTGTATTCATTGACGAGAGGAAAGCATAGGTTCAGGTTCAGTCAATGAACAACTTTATTTTCTTGACGTTAATAAAACAGCATGGATCAGAGATCAATAAAGCTTTCTAATACTCCTCTCCTTCCTCATCCACATCTCCCAGGCTATCAGCTCCAACCTCCTCGTAATCTTTCTCCAGAGCGGCCATGTCCTCTCTGGCCTCAGAGAACTCTCCCTCCTCCATACCCTCACCCACATACCAGTGCACAAAGGCACGCTTAGCGTACATCAGATCAAACTTGTGGTCCAGCCGAGCCCAGGCCTCTGCAATAGCAGTGGTGTTGCTCAGCATGCACACAGCCCTCTGGACCTTGGCCAGGTCTCCACCAGGAACTACAGTGGGCGGCTGGTAGTTGATGCCCACCTTGAAACCAGTGGGGCACCAGTCCACAAACTGGATGGAGCGCTTGGTTTTGATGGTGGCAATGGCAGCGTTCACGTCTTTGGGAACGACATCACCACGATACAAAAGGCAGCAGGCCATGTATTTACCGTGGCGTGGGTCGCATTTCACCAACTGATTGGCTGGCTCGAAGCAGGAATTAGTGATTTCTGCCACCGAGAGCTGCTCATGGTAAGCTTTCTCTGCAGAAATAACAGGGGCATAGGTGGCCAGAGGGAAGTGGATACGGGGATAGGGCACCAAGTTGGTCTGGAACTCTGTCAGATCAACATTGAGGGCACCATCAAAACGAAGGGAGGCAGTGATGGAGGACACAAGTTGACTCATCAACCTGTTCAGGTTTGTGTAAGAGGGACGCTCGATATCAAGGTTTCTACGGCAGATATCATAAATAGCGTCATTATCAACCATGAAGGCACAGTCAGAGTGCTCCAGGGTGGTGTGGGTGGTCAGGATGGCGTTGTAGGGCTCCACCACAGCGGTGGACACCTGGGGAGCTGGGTAGACGGAGAACTCCAGTTTGGACTTCTTGCCGTAGTCGACGGACAGACGCTCCATCAGCAGGGAGGTGAAACCAGAGCCGGTGCCCCCTCCGAAGCTGTGGAACACCAGGAAACCCTGAAGACCGGTGCACTGGTCGGACTGAAAGAAAAAGAGAAAATCATGAAATAATAATAATAAATGTATTTATATAATACAAAGACAGCAGTGCCAAGGGTTCACAGCTAATGATAAAAAAGCGTATTAGTGCACAGCATGTAAACATATAGATTCAATGAAAACAGATCAGAGATAAGAGGGTGCCATACCATGGAGGGCTTTGAATGCGATCAGGAGGATCTTAAACTGAATTCTGCAGGGTGGAGGAAGCCGATGCAAGTGGGCCAGAATCGGGGAAATATGCTCACTTTGAAAGAGTGATACCAGATTGTTATGTCTTGTGTTTGTCTAAAACACTGTACAGCTCTAAATTTTAAAACATATACTTCACATATTTATTATAAGTTATGACACTTGGCTTTTGCAATACTTATTTTTGCCATTCACCACAATATGATTGCATACTCCTTGTATGTGAAAACCTACTTAGCAATAAACTGATTCATCTCCATTTAATACTCTTCAGCAAAATTGACTTCTGTTCTAAATGTACTGACCAGCTTTCGGATTCTGTCCATCACCAGGTCGATGACCTCCTTGCCGATGGTGTAGTGTCCTCGGGCGTAGTTGTTGGCAGCATCCTCCTTGCCAGTGATCAGCTGCTCAGGGTGGAACAGCTGGCGGTAAGTCCCCGTGCGCACCTCATCTAAGGGTAATGAGCATTAGATTATTGAAGGTTTTGAATGACCGAGGGGGGAAAAGGTTTATGATACTTTTATCATTTATAATTAATGAGAATGTACCGATGACAGTGGGCTCCAGGTCAACAAACACTGCTCTGGGGACGTGCTTTCCAGCTCCAGTCTCACTGAAGAAGGTGTTGTAGGAATCGTCCACTCCTCCTGAGATGTTCTGGTCACCAGGCTTCCTGCCGTCCGGCTGGATCCCATGTTCCAGGCAGTAAAGCTCCCAGCAGGCATTGCCAATCTGCACACCAGCCTGACCAACGTGGATTGAGAGGCACTCGCGCTGTAAAAGGGAAAAAAGGTTGTTAAGAAACTATCATAAAAGGAAGCCTAGTGGCTGATTCTTGTGCAAAAACATGTGTGTAACATACATTCTAGTGGCATATCACCACATGTGGGAGGACTGCTCTATTACTATTTTAATAAGAACCAAACATCATATCATGATTTAAGTCACCTGATGCACACATTTGTCATCTGAACAGAAAGACAGTTATAATTAAAAACAAAAAGAGGCTAAATACTGTTTATACGTCAAATACCAAAAGCACAATGACGCAGTTGTTGGCAGACAGGTGGCACGATTGGACGTGAATGTGGGCCAGTGTTAAGAGAGGAGACTACGCATTTACATTTTCTGCAACTGTCTCACACGGATTGCGCCACTGCCACACCCCTTTAGGAGACTAGTGGCGTGGCAGGCCAGAACGTAAACACACATAATCCATAATAATCATCTAATTCGACCTAAATAAAGTAAAAATTGGAACCATGTCTCTCATCTCTCTAATGTGAAGACATTAAGAAAAAATATAAATATTAAACAAAATGCCTCTTGAGGGCATGAAGAGACAAAAAGTCCACCTAGCTCCCAATTGATTCCCATGTTAAATCTTTCTGGAACTTTCTTCAGAACAGAGAGAAGTACACTTTAAACAAACTGCTCCCATCTCCACATTTTACACTCAAAACCAAAAAAAACAACATATATCAGTTCATTGGGGTTCCCTGATGCTCACGGTCTGGTCATTTTTTGATAGGAGCCATAGTTTTTGAACAGGTGGCAAAATTGTCAGATATAATCCTCAATGCATTCTTAATGGGACTCAGTGCTGCAGTTGGAAAATCGTCATAAATCGTCACCATGGTAACCTTTCATCTCTGGGTTTACACACACAGGTGTTTGTAAACATTCATTCACTACTACTTACATTTCATATCTTTATTTAACTCCTTCAGCCTAATTTCAGCTGCAGAAACCATTCAAATATCAAACTATTCAGCCTTTCTAGTTAACTAGGCTATAAACAAATATAGCTAAAAGAAGTGGACGAGCCCCCATCTGCCATGGCCTTGCTCTTGGCCATAACAAAAAGCGTGGGAAGGACGAGAACATATATGAAAAATATATTTATTAACAGAAGCTTAACGTAAACTAAAAAAACTAACACAAAGGGAAAACAAAAGACGAAGCGACGAGGCTGCTCCGAGGTCAGGTCCTCTGCGGGAGAGAGAGATCGAGACTCTGGCTCAGGCCTCTTAATCCTCCGCCAGCCGTCAGGTGTCCTCAATCAGGGCATCAGGTGTCCCCAATCAGGGCGTCACAAGCACAGGAGAAACATTAAAGGGCCATGCACACCACAGGAGACAACAAGGCAGGGGTCGTCACAATAGTGAAGTGTATTAGATGTTCTGCACTCTTATTGTTATGTATTTAAAGGTGGGGTAGGTAAGTTTGAGAAACCGGCTCGAGATACACTTTTTGTTATATTCCATGGAATGCTCTTAACATCCCGATAGCAATGAATATCTTAAGTGCTTTGACAAAAAATCCATAACAAAATGTCATCTGTGGAAGCCGTAGTACTGTAAAAAGTACGACCAATCATCTGAGCCGGCCCGGCTAAAATGACTGGATGGCCTACCTGCCTGTCAGCCTTCCATCTGTGCACAAACTTATCTCGTGCCCTCATTGGTCATGTGCGCGTTCGTGTGTGTTGGAGGAGGGGCTCTGTAAGGAAGTGGCAGATTATTTCCGGCTGTGTATTTTCTAATTCCAGCGATCTCGAGCTGGTTTCTCAAAAATGACCTAACCGCCCTTTAATATAAAGTGAAATACCCATAAAGTCAGAAAAGAAAAGAGTCTCACTTAAGGAAAAAGTTTCTTCATTTGCACATAAACATGGTCAAATATTTAAAGTTGTGACCAGATGGTGTCGCCCTAATCCGTGTATCTACGGTCCATTTGTTTTTCTTTATTACACAAGTTAGCGGAAGAGCATCTGAGAGGCCTTTTTGTTTTTGTTGTTTTACCTTACTAAATGGTCTAATGCTCATTGGAGCGAGGGGCGGGGCGAAACTCGCGGAAGTGATTTCAAAACAAAAGCCCTCGTTTGCTTGGAACGGTGATAATATTATAAACAAGGTGAATTTAGCGATCACAACGAAAACGGCCAAGACACATATTGAGCCCAGAAAATGAATGTTATTAAGGGCTGTAAATATAATAGGCCTGTGTCTAAAATGGACAACATTGTTAGGAGATTTAAACTATACAGCGATTCTGCACTGCGGTCACTCAGCCGTCTCTCGAGTTTGTTTTTTCAAATCAGCTGCTCTTCATGTGATGCATGATGGTATCTGGGTTCATACCTTGAAGCTACCTTCCAACATTTACATTTGGAACAGATACAAAGAGTTATAATATTCTCCTTATATCTATAGTAAGTATAAGACGGGGACCTCACAGAATTGTCCAATATGTGAGACTCATGTTGGGACTAGGCTGCATTGCAATGAAGGAATGCAGCAAAACTCAAGTATTTTGGAGGGCAACATGTGCAAACATCACTACAGCAATCGGTCAACAGGTGTCAGTAGAACCTCTATTGTGTCTGCTTGGATATGGCCCTAGTACTCTAAAACAGTGGAAAGAGAGAGAGAGAGAGAGAGAGAGAGAGAGAGAGAGAGAGAGAGAGAGAGAGAGAGTGTGTGAGTATGAAATGAACAGTTAGAACTGACTGCTGTCAGTTGGAGTGATGACATCATCGTGTTCCATTACACAGGTGTTTATAGTTGAACTAACGAGCTATGAAGAGATCAAAGGTTTGCATTGTTCTGAATGACAGATAAACCTCTTACATGTGAACGTTTTGTGGAAGAACGATAACAGATATCTGTGAAATTTCAAAACGTGAAGCATGTCAAGGAAGTTGAGTATCTGAAGTGCAATTTTTGTGTACTTTCGGGTTAATAATGTGGCCTTTTTGGCAGTTTAACTAAAGGTGTGCGGCTGCTGCTGTGAGGAAATATCAGCCTGAAATTACAATGGGCTTTAATGGAGGCATGTTGAACGTTTTTGTCACTTCATGCCCTCAAGAGGCATTTTGTTTAATTATTTGTCATTTTTCAAGCTACGAGATGTTTTCCTACGTTTCTCATGACAAATTATGTCTCAGGAATGTAGGGTTTGGGAATTATGGCAATTTAAAAAAGAAATATGAAGGCAAATTTCAAGATTTCCTACCCTCTAGCTGTGACATCACGCACTCTGCCTTAACGAGCTGTGCAATGTTAAAGTTCAAATGTTAAAAATGTGATGAATTATGGGATGTATCTCTGGAATTATGAAAGTTAAGAATGATAAAAGTAATAGCCATCGATTCCCGACCGAGCTGAACGTTTTGATGTTTGAACGGAGTTTCTGCGATGTTGAATGTGGGAGGAGAAGACGGACAAAAAATAACTGGATGGAATAATAAGAATTTTGTCCGTAGCATAACATATAGTAAATAATAAAGATCTATGCAGAAAGGAACAGACGGGAGGAGATCACCATCACTAGACTCAGACTGGATCATACAGGATAAAACGGAACAATGTTTTTAAAGGAAAAAAGCGAAGTTGAAGAATGCAGGGGGTGTGGAGTGAAAGAAAATGTGGAACACATCGTATTACACTGCAACATGTAGAAAACAGAGAGGGAACAACTACTGTAAGAGACAGGGTCAGAGAGGCAGGAAGGGAGTGGAGCCTGATGGGGATACTGGGAACAGAAGGTGAGGGGGTAAGAGCTACCAGGAAGGGAGTGGAGCCTGATGGGGACACTGGGAACAGAAGGTGAGGGGGTAAGAGCTACCAGGAAGGCCATTCTTAAGTATTTGAGTGAAACAGGATTGATTGGAAGAATTTTAAACAACGTAAATACAGTGGTATAATTCCACAAATGGTGATATGATGATATGGTGATACACACTCTTGTACAGTAGGTGGCGGTATGCACCTTAAAGTTGTTTGCAATCCGCCAAAAACCGAGAGAAGAAGAAGAAGAAGAACCTGGGTCCATGTGGCGTCTCGTCGCTACGGTTCTCTCTCTCTGTGTTCCTGAGAAAGTGTGTGTGAGCTCCAGCACTACTGATCCATTGATTGATTGATTGATTGATTGAAAAGTTTATTAACAGCTTGTATATTGGGTACAGTACAGTACAGCTCAAAACATACAATTGTTAAGGGGATGCAGACCAGAGAAAGACTTTCGTCTTGTTTACATCAGGGTCCCCCATTTCCAATTCATCATATCATTTAAGACATATAAGACATATTTGACATACAGATGGCTTATTTACAATTTACATACAGGTGGTTTTTTACATACAGATGGCTTATTTACAATTTTCATTTTAGATTTCGTTCTAATACATCCTAACCGGACATTTAAGACATACCAAGTCTACAGATATACAGTTACATCCATCATCTGTGTGTCTGGATAAACCTCTGAATGTACTCTGTGCTCTTTTTTCTGGAGCGTTTACCTCGGACTATAGGAGCTAGCTTAGCATGTTAGCTGGAAACACGTTAGCAACACTAGTCAGATTGAGAGTTTGATGGAGAGAGAAACGGTGTGTTTAACGGAGTCTGCAGGAAAAGGTGATCTAGGAAACATGAGTAAAGTCCAAATGCTCGAGGAGGAGCTGTCTCTTTCCAAAGAGGAGAACAAGAGACTCCAGAAACTACTGGACGCTGTTTTACAGCCTCAGCTTCGGATACACAGAGCAGGTCTGTTCCCTTTACTCTCCATTAACACTTTAAACTCTTCAGTAGCACTTTATTATCACATTAATAACACTTTAGACCAGGGGTGTCAAACTCAAGGCCCGGGGGCCAAATCCGGCCCGCGACTTCATTTTATGTGGCCCCACAAGAGCTTGCAAAGAATATAATATGTTTATTATACGGTTACATGCTACTTTAGAGAAGCACGTTGCCCATAAACGACATGTCCCACAATGCATCTCAAATGTGACTTTTTCTCAGAATTTGACTTTTTTTGTCCAAATATGCCTTTTTTCTTAGAATTAGCCTTTTTCTCATAAATAGATTTTTTTTTCAAAATGTCACTTCTCTTTTTCAAAATGTCACAATCAATGTTTTTCCAGTGTTGTATCTTGTGATCAATAATTGTATGTCCACAACATAGGAGTAGATTTAACTGGTTTTACTTTGGTAACATGCTTCCGGGACTTCCTCGTGGGAACATGTACAACAGGCTCTTTTTAATACCAAGAGTGAGTTTGCCCCCTGCTGGACAAATGCAATAACATGTAATAATAACACAAGGTAAGATACCACATTTCCCCCCCTTTAAGCTAACAATACTTCCCGAAGGTGGGGGTATAACATATGATTTTAAAAGAAAAGCCACATCCAGAATGTGGCTTTTCTTTTAAAATCATATTGTGACATTCTTACTGAAGAGACTTGCAATTATTTGCTCTAGACTTCTGCTTTCAGACGTAGTTAATTATGAAGTTATATTAATTAATGATATAGTCTTAAAGTTACAACCGGCCCTTTGAGTGCAACCATAATGCTGATGTGGCCCGTGATGAAATTGAGTTTGACACCCCTGCTTTAGACCCTTTATCAGCACGTGCTGCAGGTAGTACATCCTGAAGTAAAAGTACAAACACCACACTGTGAAAATACTCCATTATTATAATTATTACGGAAGAGCAAACCTACCAAAATAAATATATTTATAAAAATACATACATTGTATAATATGCTATTTAATTTACTGATTTAAATATTACCCATGCATGTAGGCAATAGTTGATTAAATGTGACATACATTGATACTTTAGTTTTAATGTGCTTCTTTATTCACCTTTTCTTTTTAAATGTGTAAAAGCAAATAAAAACAAATACTTTGGATTAATTCAAATTGCGCGAGAATAATTCATAAAGAAATCATGAAGGGTCTTAACTACACGTCCCAGGAGCCAAGTGTTCCTCGGTGCGTTCTCATCAACGATGACGACCAGGTCTCCGGGGGTGAAGTTTCTTTTGATAGTATTCCAGTTGAGCCGTTCTTGCATCAAAGGAAGGTATTCCCTGGTCCAGCGCTTCCAAAACAGGTCAGCAAGGTATTGCACCTGCCTCCTGGCTGAAGAGTTTGCAGCTGATAGCCAGTAACGTTGAAGGAGTTTGGAGAGCATGTGACCTGAGTGACCAACTTGGTGATGTATGTGGCTTAGTATCAACTTGGAAATACGAGAATGTTTAAGTAGAATCATTGGATGTTTGAAGTCAGTTGGCATAGCCATCTTTGTAGTTCTTCCTCCAACTCTCAGAATCCCAGCATCAATGATAGAGTCCAGCTTGTATAGGGAGCTTCCTCTATTGCACTGTTTGGCTTTTTCCAGCAAGGCAAAATCCTCTTTGAAATGCTGTCTCTGCTCGTGGCAAATAATGGCCTTTTCAGCATTTTCCGTGTCCTCTACTGAAAGTCTTAGTGCATTAGCTGTAGGCCTTTTGAGCAGAAGCATCTGATCCTTCAGTCGCTTTCCTTTATCCTGCTTTACTCCAAGATCAGTGGAGCAATCTTTCCTCTTTTCTCTCATCTGCAGGAGCTTTCGGTCATCAGCTGACATTTGTCTTTCCTCTTCATACTCGTTTTCTGGAAAGTCATTAATATATTGTCTTTCCTTAAGCTTCTCAAGGTGAACAATTGAGGTCCTGTTCACTACTGCCACAGGGGTTTCATCATCCGGATCTGTGGAAGCATTAGGTGGACCATTAACGACCCATCCTAACAGTGTTTTCACTGCATATGGGCCGTTTCCTTGGGTATTTATAACTTTCCATGGTTCCATAGCCTTTGGAGTATTTACTCCAATAAGAAGTCCCACGTCAGCATCTAATTCTTTTATTTAGATTTCCTGCAGATAAGGCCATTTCTTGAGGTCCGCCTGGGTAAGAATGTTTCTTTTGGTGACGGATTTTGTTCCGAGTGTAAACCTTGGGCAACTTTATATATGTGCCATCTTCCACATTGCCCACTTCTAGACCCGTTACCTCAAAACTCCTGACTGTTTTCTCTGTTCCCATCGTTTGAAGAAGGACTTCAGTTCTCCGTCCTCTAGCACCAAGCTGCCTCATGAGCCCCTCTGTGCAAAATGTGTCGGTACTACCAGGGTCCAGGAATGCATAGGTCAGTATACTTTTATTTCCATGGCAGAGTTTCACCTTCACTGGCACTATGGCAAGTATGCTGTCTTTACCAGCCCCAATTCCTTCACCTTCTCCTACTGAAACAAGAGCACTGCTGATGGATGTCTCTTCCGGCCTTGCTCCTCCACTCTTCTGCTCTGTCTTATCATGTTTAAAGTTCTCAGTTTCAGGCTTAGAAGGTCTTTTAATGTGCAGAATAGTTGGTTGTCTAGCATGACAGATTTGACAGGTCATTCTCCTGTTACAGTTCCTGCTCAAGTGCCCCACCTTCAGGCAGCCAAAGCATAGTCCTTTCTCCTTCAGAAACTCAATTTTAGCTTCATGAGATATTGAATGTATTGTATGGCATTCAGCTAAAGGATGCATGCTGGTACAAAAGGTACATGAGGTGTCATTGTTAGTGGAGGAAACGTAGCTTTTAACAAGATAATTGTCTTCTTTGGGTTTCTCTGCATGGCTGTCTGACACTATAGCCACTGTGGTAGCAAAACTGCTTCCCTTGCACTTATTTCGGCTTAAATCAGCAGGAGTTGTAATGAAAGTCTTTGCACTGTTAAGTTGATGATCGTGAATGTCACCAAAGAGAGGGTCTAGCTTGTCTTTCAATAAATACAACAAGGTCATGCAATTTTGCTCTTTGATGGCTCCGATCCAGAATATCACAAGCTGCTGTTCTCCACTTCTCCCTTAGTTTGTAAGGTAGCTTTGAAAGAATGAGCCGTAGGTTGGATGGCAGGTCCAGCTCCTCCATGTCCTGCAGATCCCTCATTGCATTACAGCAGCCTCTCAGAAAAAGTGCATAACAGTGCAGTGACTTTCCATCCTCTGCCTTTATAGTGTTCCAGTTAAGAGCTTTCCCCATATATGCGTTTGCTATCTTGAGCTCATCTCCAAAATGCACTTTTAGCAGTCTCTTAGCTTCAGCAAAGCCACTATTAGCATCCATATGAAGGCAGCTTCTCACCAGTTCCCTGCAGGATCCCGAAGTATATTGTTCCAGGTAATATAATCGATCCTGGTTACTGGTGGTTTTCTCCTCAATGCCATGTTGAAATGCCCTCACAAATATTTGATAATTCAGGGGATTGCCATCAAAGTGGAGGGCACACTTGTCGTGTGCCCTCCACTTGTCGTGTGCTGCTGTCCTGGTGAGATTTTGACGTAACGGAGAGACCGGAGCGGCTTCGCGTTCGGGCTGCGGCCTGCTTTACACCTGCTGTAGCGGAGGCCTGTATCCACCTGCTCCACCTGTCGTGCTCTACGGTGCCGAGGAGGTTTTACCACGGGGATATCGCGGAGAGATCGGAGCGCCTCTACTTTTCGGGCTGGACCTGCTTTCGCCTATCCTGTACTGCTGTGCTGAGGAGGATCTTCACCGGGGACATCGCGGAGAGACCGGAGCGCCTCTACGCCTCGAGCTGGGCCTGCTTCGCCTATCCTCCTGTGCTGAGGAGGTTTTGCACCGAGGATATCGCGGAGAGACCGGAGCGCCTCCACGTTTCGGGCCTGCTTGCGCGCCTATCCGGATGCTGTGCTGGTCTGGGAAAATGGCCCCTATCGTGATTCTGCTATGCCTGTTAGCTATTTTGGACAATGAGAAGTTCTCTCGTCATCCTGAGAAGTCGACTGGGTTCAGGTCTGTTCTACCGCCCGCAGTGGATATCCCCTGTAAAGGTTCGGATGTGTTACACAAACAATTACTGGTTGCCTTGTCACAGACATTCAGTTCGACAAATGTTTGTCTTTCTCACTTGCCTGCTATGATGGTTCTTCAGGACTGCTTCTTGAGCTCTAATCTCACTTTCGCGGCGTTTGCTGGTGACTTTAAAGCAGATGACAATGTATGTGTGTCGGTTAAGAGGAAAAGGTGCTTGTTTTTTTTGCTATTGTTACTATCAGGGAATGTACAACTAAACCCTGGACCGCCCAGTAGCAGTAGTAGTCAGATAGCTACTCCTGCTGATTTTATTTCTAGATCTGGGTTGGGATTCATTCACTTAAATGTGCGCAGTCTGTTACCTAAGTTAGATTTTGTCCGCATTTGGGCGAGCTCGACTGATGCTGATATCATTGTCTTATCAGAAACGTGGCTAGATAAATCTATTTTGGCCTCTGACATCTACTTAAATGGTTATAGTGTATATCGTACCGACCGTCCTAAAAAAGGTGGTGGCGTTGCCATTTATGTGAAAAATAAGTTTTGTGTAACCAAGATGGTTTCCAAATCTATTAGTAAACAACTAGAATTTTTAGCCTTAAATATTGAAGTAGCAAAGGGTCAACAGCTCATGGTGGTGGGCTGCTACAGACCCCCCTCAGCTGTCAAGGACTCTTTATCTTCATTGGCAACACTTTTATCTCAACTTGACTACAAGGAAATAGTGCTGCTTGGTGATTTTAATTGGGACTGGTTAACTTCTGTGTCAGAGGATTTTAAAAACCTTTGTATCTCTCTGAATGTTACTCAGATTATAGACAGTCCTACTCGCCCTAACATTAAGTCCCAAAATAAATCCTCCTTAATTGATCTCATTTTAACTAATGTTCCCCATAAATACTTATCTGTGGGAGTATTTGCAAATGATCTGAGTGATCACTGTGTTGTAGCCACAATTAGGGACACAAAAGTCCAAAAGGTTAAACCTCGCATTATCAGTAAGAGCGACAAAAAACATTTTGTGGAGCAGGGTTTTGTTCATGATCTGTTTGATTTTGATTGGGGTAAAATCGATCTGTGTGCTGATGTAGAAACTGCATGGTCTTATTTGTATCTTGGTTTTATGGAAATTATAGATAGACATGCACCCCTACGTACTTTTAGAGTAAAGGGACGAGACAACACTTGGTTTTCTGCTGACTTATCTAGTCTCCTACATGAGAGAAACAAGGCCTGGGCAAAGGCTAGGAAATCAGGCTCAGAGGTAGAATGGCTACGCTTTAGGCAGCTAAGAAATAGCTTCACATCACAAATAAAAAGTGCTAAGTCTAAGTACTATCTGTCAGTTACCACAAAGAACCTGAATAATCCTGGAAAATTTTGGAAAGCCATAAAATCGATATCCACCGGTGATATCCGTAATGAGCTACCTCCTTGCATTACCACAGCATCTGGCTCTATATCGGACAGGGCCACTATGTTAAATTGCTTTAATGAGCATTTTGTGTCCTGTGGCTCTCTGTTTGATTCTGTGACTAACTCTGCTTCTGTGAACACCACAGTCTGTGACTCTGAAAAATGTGTTTTGGAAAACCCTTTTAGTTTTACTCCTTTTACTGTTGATGTTGTTCGTGAAGCTTTAACCAAGTTAGATCCTAAGAAACCGGCTGGCCCGGACAACGTAGAACCTTTCTTTTTAAAGGTAGCTGCAGATTTTATTGCTCCACCTCTCACTACTCTTTTTAACCTCTCCCTCAGCACAAATGCAATTCCAAAATTGTGGAAGTCAGCGTATGTCCTGCCTCTACTAAAAGGTGGGGAGGCAACTGTTTTAAATAATTATAGGCCCATCTCTAAATGATCAGTTCTGGCTAAGGTTCTTGAACGCCTAGTGAGTGAGCAGGTAAAGGTGTTTTTATGTACAAATGACATCCTGTCTAAACATCAGTCAGGCTTCAGAAAGCAACATAGCACCATCACTGCCACAATGAAAGTGGTGAATGATGTGGCGAGTATTTTAGATAATAAGCAGAGCTGTGCAGCTCTATTTATTGACCTTTCCAAAGCGTTTGATACCGTCGATCATCACATCTTAAAGCAGAGGCTACTCAGTATTGGCATATCCAGCCATGCAGTGGGTGGTTTGTGAACTACCTCTCTGAAAGGTCCCAATGTGTTCATTTTGATGGGCTGTCTTCTGAGTGGTTAAACATTACTAATGGTGTTCCTCAAGGTTCTGTTTTAGGTCCACTTTTATTCTCCATCTACATCAATAGTTTAGGTGAAAATGTCGATGGAGCAACCTTACATTTTTATGCGGACGACACCGTTATGTACTGTGCACGTCCCTCCATTAAGGAGGCTGTTGTTGAATTGCAAGCTGCTTTTAACATTATTCAGACTCAGCTCTCTGAACTAAAGCTTCTTTTAAATGTTGATAAAACCAAGGTAATGCTCTTTTCAAAAGCTAAAAAGACACCAGAGCCTGTTTTAGATATTGTAACTACGCAAGGAATAAAACTTGAAGTGGTTGCCTGTTACAAATACCTTGGTATCTGGCTTGATGATTGTCTCACTTTTAAACGTCATGTCAATAACCTGCTTAAAAAACTGAGGGTTAGACTAGGTTTCTTCTACAGGAACAAGTCCTGTTTCTCGCTTGAGGCCAGAAAAAGGCTAGTCTCTGTGACCTTTTTACCTGTGCTGGACTATGGTGATTTGATTTATATGAATGCACCTGCCAATTGCCTGGTCAAGTTAGATGCTGCGTATCACAGTGCACTGAGATTTGTGACAAACTGTAAAGCATTAACCCATCACTGTACCCTGTATGCAAGGGCTGGTCTGCCTTCACTAACTGTACGGAGGCTCAGTCACTGGTACATTTTTATATATAAAGCCATGTTAGGGAAACTTCCATCCTACATCTGCTCCCTGATCTCACGGCGAATTGTAAGTGGCTACTGCCTGAGATCGCATGCTGTGGTTTTATTAAATGTGCCAACTGCTAGGACTGTCTTAGAGAAGATATCATTTAGATGCGCAGCTCCACTGTCCTGGAATAGTCTGCAATTTAAATGGAAACTGAGCAATCTGGTGCCACTAAATGTTTTTAAAGCTTGGTTGGATGCTACTCAATCGGAAGCTGTTGGTACCTGTTCATGTGGATAGTTATGTAAACTGTAATCCCTGTAATGATACTGTATGATGTCCTTTTGTTGTTCTGTTTATGTTTTAATGTTTCATGTGGAACCTACTTGAGCAGGTCTCCCTTGAAAAGAGGTCAATGATCTCAATGGGATACAACCTGGATAAATAAAGGTTTGAAATGAAATGAAAGACTGGGATTTCCCTAGTGGGCAGTGATGTTTGCTTTTGTTGAAGTACAAGTAAATTAACAATGTCATTTTGTCTCTGCATCACAGTCAGGAAATTGTCATTATTATTTGTCCCTGTAATTCCTGCATCTCTAGCTGTGTGTTGAGGGCTTTGGTTTGTATTATCAATATTTTCTGGTGGTCTTGGTTGTTGGTATAGAAGCCTTTGAAGTGGTGTTTTGGGAATGGCTCCAAACTCAGCAAAGGTAATTGGAGACGGCTCTGCATCCATTGACATATGTGGTTTTACTCTGTAGTCTTTTACATAGTCATTCATGCCGTCTTGTGTTGGATTTTGTGAACCAGTCTCAAAATGCTCCAGAACTTTCATTTTTGCATCAGATTCAGCGAGGCTGGCGTCCATTTCCATCCGTTCGAATCTAGCTTGCAGTTGAGCCTTTTCCATTTCAAGTGCATGCTTTTCCTTTAATCCTGCTGCCCGGGCAGGCAGCTCTTTCTGTGGCTATTTTGAGGTGGGTTGAGGAAGCAGAAGAAGTTGTTGATCCTGCTTTTGAGCTCCTCCTGTGTGATGCATTGGAAACACTGTCATGGGGTTCAATCAGTATCTGAGGATCCATTTGAGAGCTTTTCCACATTTCCACATCCTTAAGGAAATTTGTGAATGCAGACATTTTTGGTTCATACCAATCCATTCTCTCAGTTTCCCTTATTTCCTCAGATAAAAGCATTTGAACATGTCCATGACACTCAATCAATTCATTGAGTAACATCTTGAATGTTGCAACAGCTTCATCCACCTTTTCCATATTTCCACCTTGCACCAGTAATGGTTTAATTTCATTCATTCTGCGGGTGCATGCTCCAAGTTTTCCTCTTCGCGATTGGCTGAGAGTTTTAAATCTCTCCTCTGCCGCTGCAACATCAGCTGGAGGAATATCAGGATCCATTGTTTATTTTTGTTTGTTTTTTCTTCAATTAATCCACATGAAATAAAGTCATTAATATTTCCAAGAACAGTTCTTCGTGAATCCTGTTTTTGTGCCAAACATTCCTTTAACGTCCGCTTCCTTAACTGCGTGATAGTTCATTAATGCATTTCATTGTTTAAGCATTCCAACAGCAATTGTGGATTATCTTCATTTCATATCATCCCCAGTAAGCATCATGATATCACTGGATGGATTTCCCTTTCGTTTTGTCAAACATCCATAACTATGCACACATCAGTCCTTGCATTGTTTGATGAAGCGATCCCATTGTAAACAGCGTTTCATTCATAGATTCCGGGCCGGCATGGTTTACTCACGGCCTCCTCCTCACGGCACTTTAGAACGTCCGATCGCTGTTTCCAAAGCAGAGCTGAAATCCACACGAATCCTGTGCTTGTCCTTCGAAGTTTTTATCCACAGCTTACGGAGTCTTTTGACTAATGTGGTGGCGTTTTAATCCTTGTCTACAATTTAATAGCCACCTCTATCGGGTTGTGGGTTTTGATGCGCCTCTCTTTGTTTCCAAACAAATGAGTTGAGAACATGGTTGAATCAGATGAGCTTTATTCGTTAGTCCAGACGGCATATAACCAGCAGGACACATTTCTTCGCTTCATCCTAAATCAAAGTTAATAGTCTCCAAAAGAACAAAAAGAACACGGTCAAAAGACTTTTCCGTTTCCCCGTCTCATCACCATCAGCTGTGTCCTATCAACCTACCATATATAGGCATATAGCCATGCACGTGATACTGACGCACATATAACAAATAATAAGTGAGCCTTAAATTAATACATTTTAAACCATAGTCGCAGCAGCTGGCCCTAGGCTCTGGAACACTCTGCCCCTCCATGTGAGGTCGGCCCAGACCCTAGGGGTTTTTAAATCTACACTAAAAACACACTTCTTCTCTCTGGCCTTCTAGTTAGAGCGAAGCACGACTCCTGACTTTTCCTTGTGTTTTTATTTTTATTTTGTTTTTTATATATATCTGTTGTAATTTATTGTCGTTTATTGTGATTGTAGTAATGTGTTTTTATTACATGTACAGCACTTTGGCTCGACCAAAAATCGCTTTTAAATGTGCTATATAAATAAAACCTGATTTGATTTGATTTGATAGTATGACTCACAAAAATACCTTTAGATGGTGAGTTTAATCTAATTTATATTATTATCAAGCCTAACTATCAGACAATAATAACTCAAGGAAAATGGCTCTAACAATATATATATATGTATATATATACAAGTTATTTATTTGTAAGCTCCAAATCCAAATGTTTCCCTCAATGGCCTTTGTGCCCTGAAAAAATGTGTGACACCAAAGGCCAAATGGCCTTGCCCCTAAAATGACGAAAATCCAAGCCTGATCCTCAGTAGTGGATCTTTGCAGCAATTGGACCATGAAGGCCTGATTCACGCAGTCTCCTCTGAACAGTGGATGTTAAGATTGTCTGCTCCTTGAGCTCTGTGATCATCTATGTGAGCTCTAATCTGAGGTGCTTTAATTTGCGGTTTCTGAGGCTGGTAACTCTGATGTATTTATCCTCTGAGCAGAGGTAACTCTTGCTCTTCCTTTCCCGGGGGGGTCCTCATGAGAGCCAGTCTCATCATAGCATTCGATGGTTTTGCGACTGCACTTGAGGATACAATCAAAGTTCTTGACATTTTCCGGATCGACTGGCCTTCATTTCTTAAAGTGATGATGGACGGTCGCTTCTCTTTACTGGGTTGAGTGGTTCTTGCTATAATATGGATTACAACAGCAGTCAAATAGGGCTTTCCACTGTGCACTAACTCTACCTCTGCTCAACACAACTGATGGTCTCAAACACATTAAGAAGGCAAGTCATTCCACACATTGACTCTTGACAAGGCACACGTGTTCATTGAAAACCATTCCAGGTGACGACCTCATGAAGCTGACTGAGAGAAGCCAAGAGTGTGCAAAGCTGTCATCAAGGCAAAAGGGGGCTACTTTGAAGAATCTAAAATAAAAATCATATTCTTGATTTTTTAACACTTTTTTGTTCACTAGATAATTCTGTGTTCTTTCATAGTTTTGATGTCTTCAGTATTAATCTATAAAGTAGAAACACATTTAAATAAACAACATTGAATGAGAAGGTGTCCAAACTTTTGACTGGTACTGTATATAAAAAACACACATATTTTAATATTGAGCAGGTTCCCTCATCTATAATCATTTATACAAGCGCAACTTTGAACATGTACAGCAGCAAAATGCAACATACACAATAATCAAGAAACAACATAAATGAAACACTCACAGGGAACATTTTACTGCACCGTCATTACTTTTACATAACAAGGTGCCGTCAAATGTTCTGTTAATACTTGCATACTTTTACTTAAATAAGGTTTGAATGCAGGATTTAGTATTGTAATTCTATACTGTAGGCGTAGTGTATCTGTGAACGGTCCCAAATACAATTCCTTGTTTACATTGCAGCTAGTGCTACGCCAGAAGAAAAAACCCTTTTTCATTTTGAACTGGAAGTGGAAAGGGGCTGGGCTACATGAGGTGACTTGAGCCAACACAAATACACAATAGGTGGGACTAAGAAAGATAATGTGAAAATATAAAAACAAAGGCATTAATTAGGGCTGCAAAATGTCTCCCATTGTAATGGTGATGAGATTTTTAAATGCTAACACTTAACAGTTTGTTCTGACTGTGTTTCCCGTTTCCTGCAGACGTCCAGCAGCTGGTGGTGGTTAAAGAAGAGCTTCTCCCTGACCAGCAGGAGTTGAGCACCAGTCTGGACCAGGAGGACCCAGAGCCCCCCCCCACACATTAAGCAGGAACAGGAGGAACTCAGGATCAGTCAGGAGGGAGAGCAGCTTCAGGAGCTGGAGGAGGCTGATATCACAAAGTCCACTTTCACTCCTGACCCTGTGAAGAGTGAAGATGATAAAGAGAAACCTCACTCCTCTCAGCCTCATCAAAGACAAACTGAACACATGGAAACAGAAGCTGATGGAGAGGACTGTGGAGGACCAGAACCAGCCAGGAGCTCAGATCCAGAGAACAGTTTACAACCAAAGACTGAGGACGACACTGAAGACTCTTCTGAACCTGACACTGGAGACTCTTCTGAACCTGACACTGGAGACTCTTCTGAACCTGACACTGGAGACTCTTCTGAACCTGACACTGGAGACTCTTCTGAACCTGACACTGGAGACTCTTCTGAACCTGACACTGAAGACAGTGCTGATTGGAAGGTGACCACAGAACCTGCATCAGGCTCAAACTCACTGAAAAATAGACATGAATCTGTCAGTGATCCACGACGTAGGGCTGAAAAGAAACCATTCAGCTGCTCAGTCTGTAAGAAAGCTTTTTCACAGAGTGGACATTTAAAGGAACACATGAGAATCCACACAGGAGAGAAACCACACAGCTGCTTAGTCTGTAAGAAAGCTTTTTCACGGAGTGGACATTTAAAGGAACACATGAGAATCCACACAGGAGAGAAACCACACAGCTGCTCAGTCTGTAAGAAAGCTTTTTCACATAGTGTAAGTTTAAAGGAACACATGAGAAGCCACACAGGAGAGAAACCACACAGCTGCTCAGTCTGTAAGAAAGCTTTTTCACATAGTGTAAGTTTAAAGAGACACATGAGAATCCACACAGGAGAGGAAAAATAGATCTGCAAAGTTTGTGACAAAAGATTTAAATGGCTATTCGTTGAAAAAGACACAAGAGTGTTGGTAAGGCAATACATTTGTCTATTTTGTATCCTGATGACCTGATGCCGTTACATGTAATACGTTACTCCCTAAGCCTGTTTTCACCCACCTGCAACCGATTCGCTAATAATCACAAATGTTCAGTTCTTCGACCCCTTGACTCGACTATTTCTTGTTTAATAATCGTTACATCTCCTCAGGACCAAGTTCCCGTGTCCTGCCCTTCACCTGCTGATCACCCACTGCTCATTTAAGGTGGACTCACCTTTACAAGGGACCAGCTAGTCTAATGGCGCGTTTCCACTACAGCCCGCAGCCCGGTTTAAGAGGGCTGTGACGTCAGCGGCCCGTCTTTGGTTGCGTTTCCACTTGGCCTAGTACCGGCCGGCGGGTCCTAATTCACAGTTTTTCTGGCCTCATAAAATCGTGGGGCCAGGGCCAGAGACAACGAGGCTGAGTCGGGCTGAGTATGCTAAACTAGAGAGAGCGTCGCTGGCAAGGAGGCAACAACTACAACAAGATGGACATATTTGACCGTGATTTAATTGTAATACACGTTTCAAAATGATGCCGAAGTAACAACATACTGATACCGGTTAGTAAAAACCATGAATTAATGCTTTGTCAAGTCTGCAGACAGACGGCAGGGGAAAAACCTTTTAAAATGCTTGTTTTCTAAATGGAGATTGGCTAAGCTAACGCAGTATATCCTCCGACCGTCCACACTCACAACAACGGCCTATACAGACATAAATAAAGCAGCGACTGTATTCACCATGACACAGGCAGTCTGTGGTTTGTACTTGTTTAACTTTTGTCTAGTTTCTGAACATATATGAGGAGCTGTGAGCTCTGAGTGCTAACAGCTAACGGCTGTGTTGTTTTTCTGGGGTCCTCTGAAGATCACCACGGCTCCGCCTACACTGCGTTACTATAGATACTGCCCCAGTTCCTAAACTGTAATGGAAATGCGCCATAAAGTGAGCCAGTCCTAACGAGGCCCAGCCATACCGAGCGGGGCCGAGCGAGGCCGTGTAGTGGAAACGCGGCATTAGTGTCTTAATGCAAACGTTTTGTAAAGTGATGCTAGACCATCAACGTGCTGTTGGGTTGTGTGCTCTCTGCAGGACGGGGTCTGGACTCAAAGATTGTTTATGGTATGAGAGCTTCATTCTGTTGTTGTCTAAACAACGCCAACAGAGCGATATGTCTTCTTTCCAGCAGATGGCATACATGTTACATCATCCAGTTCAACTGTCATCCACATATTAGTGATTCAAAACAGCAATGTGTGAGATATGGCTAGTAATTGACTATTTCAACAGAATGTGAAGAGGTTACAGTCTTGAGGCCATGTCCAATATGTTTATGTTTTGTTTGATTAAATCTACTGAAATGAGCATTCAATGACTAAATTATTCTTAATTACTGTCATTACATCATGGGTTTGCATTGCAATATTAGAACGCATAAAACCCAACTTTATTT